AATGTCATTGGGAATGACCCACTCCTTTCTTGCCCCTGAGAACATGTGTCTTTCCTCCAGATGAGAGTCAGCAAGGAGCAGGACCACTTCCTCATTAGCCCGAAGGGAGTTTCCTGCAGTGAAGTCACAGCATCCAGCCTGGTGAGTACAGTCCAGCGTCCCACTGCTCATTCCTATTGAAATGACAGCTCCTACAGTGATAGGTCATCTCCAATTTATCCACTGCTGTCCTGTCCCTCGTTGAGCTTACAATCTAGTGGGGCAAGAAGACACATGGGCACCAAAACAAATGGAGTGCCCAGAGCATGATGCCACCACGAGACCAAATGTGAGGTGCAGGCAGCAAGTGCCATAAGAGGAAGGGGTGGGCCTGGTCCTCTGAGCCTGGGGTTGTACCATAAAGGCTGGGAGTAGGAAGGCCTTTCTGCCTGGGAGATATTAGAAAGGCAGCCAATGCTTTGTCCCAAAGCAATGCAAGACCTGGCTAGTGCTGGTGCCATTAGAGACAGCTTCTGGGACCTCTTTCAGTTCTGCTCCTTTACGTGGGGTAGGGAGAAACTTCCAGAAGCTGATTTTAATCAAGAAAAATTTCTGGGTGTGAGAAGGAAAGCACTAGAAAGGACTGTCTTAGAAGCAGAAAAGGCCCCATGTTTCTTAGATACGTGGGCTACAGCTGATGTACCAGCTGTTGCACCTGAGGTAGGAGCTTGCCACTCAGATGCCTCCAGGCTTGAGACACTCAGATGTTGAGTCCAGGTACTCAGTTTAAAGAGCACAGACAAAGTCACAGAATATCTGGGCAGGGCTGGGCCTCGAGGACTGCCAAGGCCACCTTACAGGCAGGAGAGAACTTTGGTGCCCAGTGAGGATAAGTGACTCGCACAGGCCACCCAAGGAGGCCATGGGAGAGCAGACAGGGACTGTGAATACAAGGACAGCACAGGCTCTGTCTTTAAGGCATTCATGATTGAGTCAGGGGTGAGGGGAGGCAATCAGTGATTAAACTCCAACTGAAAAGCGCCCTGGGACGAAGGAAGCTCGGGGAGCCCCGGGAAGAGGCACCGGGCTCACTGGGTGCTGGAGGGGGCAGAGGTGGCAGAGGAGGAACTCCTGGGTTGGAATGTGATGAGGGAATGGAGTCCTCAGGAGCTCACTATGGATAAGCAGGTTAAGACCAGGGCCGCAGGGAAGGACTGGGCAGAGGGGACCACGGCCTCAGCAGGAGGGCGTCATGCACCAAGCCCAAATGCATACCACATCCCAGTGCACTTGGAGGACAGGTGAGGCTGAGTCTGGGGGTAAGGCAGGGAAGGTGATAAATGGCACCGCAGGCCTCTTATGATGGCACTTCAGCGTTATTCTGCTGGACAGGCAGAACCTCTCAAGCATTGTCAGCGACGAGTGATGCAATCAGGTGTCCATTGTATAAATTGCCCTCTCACAACTGTGTGGGGGCAAACTGTCATCAGGACAACCAGTTAGGGCTGTGACAATCAGCCAGGAAGGGAACTTTGGTCCAGCAGCCTTAGTGGGCCTGGCTACCAGCTGGGTTGGGGGTGCGGGGTTGAGTTTGAGCTGGTGGCATGTTCAGGAAAGAAGTCAGGTGGCATTTGGTTATCCTAGCTCAGAAGACCTATGGCCTAGAAATACAGCTTTGAGAGTCATGGGCATGAGATGTCCAGGGTGAGTGTGTGGACTTAGTGCTGTTGTGTATGGTTGTACAGGTCATGCACTGCACAAGAGAGCCTGGCTGGTGAGAGGGGGAAGGGTGAAAACCAACCTGTGCTCCCTTGGGCTTGTTTCAGATTTGCTCAATGGAAGCCATCCACACACCAAGAGCGGTGCCCCTGGTGCTGTCCTCAAGAGGGGGCTGTTCTCATTTGGACAAAGGCACTATATGGGATAGTGGCTATTATATTAGGCTGTAGATTCGTTTCTTTTAAATCCTCACCTGAGGATATGTTTTTATTGAGTTTAGAGAGAGAGCAAAGGAGAGAGAGAGAAAAACATCGATCGGTTGTCTCTCATACATGCCCCAATCAGGGCTCAAAGCCATAACCTAGGTATGTGCCCTGACTGGGAATCAAACCCACAACCTTTTGGTGTATGGGATGCTGCTGCAATCGACTGAGCCACCTGGCCAAGGCAAGGCTATAGAGGTTCTTAAAGTGACAACAGATCACACATCCAAGGCGAATATAAGGATTGCATGAGATCAGAGGAAACTCTGAGCAGGCCACACCTCTGGGGAAATGGGGGAGCCGGGCTGAAGGGAGGTGCCTGATGGGAGTGTTGCTGCTACTTCCAGCGGTCAGCCGCTTTGAAGTCATGTTCACTCGTAGAACATGAATTTTGTAAGAGGGGATTGCTGAACATCTTCCTGATGGTTCTGCTTAAACAAATGATGTCAATAGCCTGTCCCTTCCCCACACAAGTCGGTCCCTTCCTTTGGTACCACCTTGTCTGCTGGGCCTTCGGGAATGGGATGGTGGGAAGTCTGTGGAATTGCCCGGTGTGCTGCATTCAGAATGTCATGGTGGTACAATTTCAAGGGCCAAAGCTGTTGTGATTTTTAGAAACTAAACTCTAGCTTGTTAATAACGCCAGGGCACACCTGTTGTCGAAGAATTAGGCTATACCAGCTTCAGGGAGATTGCACCCTGGGGACCTCCGTCAGAGGGTGTTAGGAGGGGACTCATTTCAGGATTTGGGTTTGTGTTGGGTGCTTTGGGGAGTGTTCTGGGAAGGAGGTGTTGCCTTAGCTAGTATACTGTCAGATGCAGGAGCGAGTCTGTGGCAGGGAAGGGGCGGGGAGGGGTCTCTCCCCCACCACCAAGCACAGCGTTGCTCAGGTGTGGTGGATGAATGAACACCAGTGGGCAGCCATGTGCTGACTCACTTCTGGGGAGAGACGTGAGGGGCCTCTGCCTGTCCTGTAGCCGTAAGCCTCTCTCCTTCCCTGGCCCAGATCAAGGTGAACATCCTGGGAGAGGTGGTGGAGAAGGGCAGCAGCTGCTTCCCGGTGGACACCACGGGCTTCTGTCTGCACTCGGCCATCTACGCAGCCAGACCCGACGTGCGCTGCATCATCCACCTGCACACGCCAGCCACGGCCGCGGTGAGTGTCGGCTCTCCAGCCAGCATTTCACTCCCTGAGGCGGGCAGCAGACCCATGGGACCTGCTTCTCTGAGATGTCCCCTGAGTTAAGACCCAAGACCCCCAAGCTAGTAACAGTCCCATCATTTAATCTGGAAAGATTTCCTGGAACTCACACCAGAGTGAGGAGAAGGACCACCCAGTGTGGGGTTCCTAATCCTCTCCACCTTTCTGACTATGGAAGTCTTGGTCTGGGGAAAGAAGGTAAAGATGTGTGATGTCTGCCCCACTGCACCCCCCACCCTGCCACTTAGGCAAACTGGCACCACGCACCAGGTAATGCCTCCTCTTCCGTCTCTCTATTCACCCTGTTGGACTGAGGGCTGGCGCCTGCCCCCACTCCTTTTCCCCAGCCCAGGCTCTGGTGAGGAGAGATCGCGATAGAAGACACGATGTTGGGAGCCTGGACTTGCCCACTTTTCATAGCCCGGGTGGGCTGAGATCTGGGGATGGGGCAAGGAAAACTGGGAGAGAGTAGAATAAAGACACCCACTTCCCCACCCCCCAAGAATCAGGTTGTTCCCTCAGGGTCTCTGGGTAATTCTCCACGTATGCCTAAGACGCTGCAATGTCGCTTGGAAAGACAGCAGGCAAGCAGTTTTGGTTTCTCAACCTTTACCCCATCATGCCCACCCCACAGGCCACACACCTACAGGGCAGAGCAGACTTGTCACTGGCCTGTGGTTTTTGGTTTTTGGTTTTCTCAGCAAAACCCATTCATTACGAGCAGAGGCCTTCCCGAACTTGGACCAAGACCGGATGCTGTGTTTGTGCCAAGTGGTCGAGCCTGGGCCTAGTCCTGGGGCAAAATGAGTGAAGGAAGCCAAGAGGCTCTGCCAAACCTCTGGCTTTACATAAAAGGCAGCGTGTGGGGCGTGGGGTGGCAATAGGGTTTTAACCCTTTCCCCTGGCACTCTGACTGCCTCATGGCTAGAAAAATGCGGCTCTACCATGGGCCTCCCTGTGGGTGAGGAGTTGTGGCTGTTTCTGCACTGACCTCAAGGCTGAGGGTCTCCACCAACCCACCCCAGGGGACCCTGGGCCCTGCTTTGCCCCAGCCTGCTGCCAACTCCACCACCTCCTGCCTCTTCCCAGAGTCCTTGGACAAGAGCAATGCAGGGCGCTGGCAGCGGTATAGCTCTCTCGAGCCATTCTTTGCAGCAGTTTTAGAAGGTGATATATCGATGTGGTTGCTGTGAAAACTGATGGACGGATGTTAGAGGAAGCAGCCAGAAAGCAAGACCACAGCCAAGGAGAATCAAAGGGTCCCCGCACCCATCGCCACCGTAGAGGGGAGCCACTCTGAGGGGAGGCGCTGGTGGAGCTATAGGCGCTAACCATTCTGTCCTCCCTCTGAAGGTGTCAGCCATGAAGTGGGGCCTCCTGCCTGTCTCCCACAATGCCCTGCTGGTGGGGGACATGGCCTATTACAACTTCAATGGTGAAATGGAGCAGGAAGCGGATCGGATCAACCTGCAGAAGTGCCTTGGACCCACCTGCAAGGTTTGGCTCAGCTGTTCCGGGAAGATGTTTCGGGGGGGGTGGGGGGGATTATCAAAAGCTGATGTCACAAGTGACACATGTTCATCGGATGATATTTAAAAATTATACATAAAAAATGAAATAAAATTCTCTCTATTGCACTACCCTGAGATTTTGGTACAATCCCCAAATATGGTCACATATATTTACAAAACTAGGATCATAAAATACATCCTCCTTTTCCCCCCCTTAGCAATATACAGTAAACACCTTTGTATGATATTAAATATTTTCTACGTCACCATTTTAAATGATTAGAATATATTTCATTGAATGGGTGTGCCACCATTTACCTGAACAGTCCTTTATGATTGAACATTGGAAGGGTTTCTTTTTCTTTTGAATTTTCTCTTGATATGAACAATACCGTTATGAAAATCCTTTCCCCTGTATCTTAGTATATTATTTCCTTTAGGGTAAAATTCCCAAATCGCGTTGGCCAAATTGTTTTGTTCGCCCTGCAACGTCTAGTATATGAGAATGCTGCTTCTCTGTGGTCTCCCCAGACTTGACCGTTATCACTTTTTTTCTAACTTGATAGAGGAAAACAGAACCTCGTTATTGTTTTGGTTAAAGTCTAATGACCTATTTTTTATAACAGTTCATATTTGGGGGTGGTCAGCTTAGCACAGGAAGTTTAGGAGCTGAACTTGGGTTGTTGACGCCTGCTCCCATCCTCGAAAGGCACTCACCAGTCACTTCCCATCTGAGAGTCCCCGTCCTCCCGTCTCTGACGCAGAGGAGAAAGCCCTGCCACTCTCTCCTGGCATTCTCAAGCCTCATGAGCAGCCCCGGGGAGGGATGAGCTGCTCACCCCCAGGAACTGCTACAAGCGTGGGAATGATGGGCATTTGTTCTCTGCAGCATCTTTAGTGGCCAGGGCCATCATCTCTTTCCATTCTCGGGCACTTGAGCGGGAAACCTCCAGCTGTTTTCAGCGAGAGAGGATGTGATGATCAGGCCTCAACTAGGTCTGTAGGGACAGATCCGGTACATGGGTCTGTGTCCAGCTCCCAGATGGGCATCGGCTGGTTGCAGAGAGTTCTCGAGCATAAAGCCAACCAAGAAGGGTTTTTGGCACCTGGACCTTGGAGAGTCAAGCTCTTGGATAAATTTACTTCTGGGTTTTCCCCTCCTTTTATCTGCCTGCCCCCACTGAGTCAGAAACATCGCACCAACACTGAGTCAGCCTGGGCTCTAGTTCCCATTCTGCCCCTAACTAGCTGGGAAGCTTTCCATGTCTTCAGGCCTCTATTTCTGCTCTCATAAAGCCAGTGGGTTAGACTAGATGATCACTAGGGCCTCACTCATAGAGCTGCCCAGGTCTCACTGAGTTTATGGAGAGGGAAGCCAATGTCCAGAGAGATCACGTGACTGGCCATCAGGGACTCAGTTTCCCCACCTGTTTCGGCAGAGCTGCCTCTTAGAGAGCCACCCCCTGGGTTTTGATTCCCAGGTTGACTGACTCACAGGGCAAGAAGTTGCTTCTGAGGTTGAATCCTCATACTGGACATCAAATAATTCCATTTACTTGAACACAAATACTAGTTCTTAGACTTCTAAGCTCTCCAAGGCCTAAAACCCCAAAGATTTTGCCCAAAGAAATCGACCAAATTACTTAGTCTCAGTATTAAAAAAACATCTATTTCTCAGGGCGATTGTTTAGGGTTCAAATCACACGTGATGTTACATTTGGATGTTTGTGTCGGGAGAAGGAACAAGGGATTGCAGGGGTGTGTGCTCCGGGATTGGATATGGAACTTGATCTGAATAAAATGAAACTCCCTCCCTCTTAACTAGAAGGCTTAACGTTTTAATTGGCCGTTTGCTCCTCTACAGATCCTGGTGCTAAGAAACCATGGCGTGGTTGCTCTCGGCGACACTGTGGAGGAGGCGTTTTACAAGATCTTCCACCTGCAGGCTGCATGTGAGATACAGGTGAGCAAGTCCTCTGGGGACTCTGGGGAGCGGCTCTGACAGTGGCCGGTGGGCAAAGGCCACCCCTCACCCCCGCCATTAGCTGTGATTCAGGGAGTTCTGTGAGAATAGCCATCTAAAAGCCTGGCCCTATTTCTTTGCTTTGGCACCACCTTACTCATTTCAAGTTTCACACTTAGAAGCAATTTTGTAGCTTTAAAAGATGTATCACCATTGTCTAGGAACCAACACCCAACTCTTGGGTGGGGTCATTGTCCAAGATAGGGAGCTGCCTGGGCTCATCACTGGGACAGCAGGAGAAACCATAGTAGGACGATAAAAGTTCTTACATGCTCACATATTGCCTGGAGTATACCTGTTACATCTGGCTATGCCCAGTAGACACCACACATGTAGGCTTTCTTTTCTCTCTTCTCTTCTCTTCTCTTCTC